GCAAATGTTGCAAGCACTTCTCTCATTGTGAAGAGTGTTGTTTAAATTCATCACTTTCCTGTGCACCCAGAATCTACAGCTGGGCACTCGTTCCACACTTCTCTGTCCAGTGAGATGCCAGTTTGTTGGAGCTGTCGATGTCCCACCCCCAAACCCTACTGACATAGCTTCTGCCAAATAACCTTGTAACTGCCTTGTGGTTGTGATGGAAGGATTTGGCCTTTCTCCTGATTTTTTCTCTAGGCACCAGCATAAAATACTTAGAATGGATGATGAGGATTAGGTACACATAACCACTCCAAAAGGACTGAACAGAAAGGAACAGATTAATGTAAGGAACCATATCCCATCAGCACAGGCAGAAAATGTTACCCCAAGAGACAAAAACAGGAATAGCAGTGTGTACGATTTGTGACTAAGCAGCAATTCAGCATAAGCATCAGGATTTAGATGTTCTTGATATCTACTCTTATGCTTTATTGAAGATATTACAGTGCAAGTCTGAGTATCCAATTCTATATCAGGTACAGCTGTACATATTGACTTCCATACAACATTGCTTCTGTTCGTATGCTACCACACCTCATGTTCCCTCCTAACACAATATTGTAAGGTGCTTTCTTTTTGTTTGTGGGTGTTGGATTTTTTTTTTTTTTTTTTTTTTTTTTGGTTGGTTTGTTTTAAATCACAAGTCAGACACAACAGTCTACTAAATCAAGAAATGCTCTTTAAGTAAAGCAATAGATTTTGAACCTCTAGAGTACTTTGGGGTCATGTTTTCAGATTTTCCTCCACAGTAATGAAGACTACAAATACACATTTTAAAAAACAGAGCAAGAGGAAGAAAATTAGAGTGGAATCACTTGCCTTCAGCATCTGGCTCTTGAAGAGAAACAGAAGTGACTATTTTTTATTTTTTTTTACCCTCCACTCAAATGATTCTTACCACCTTGTTAGATGGAGGGTCTCAACAGATTATTTAAAAAGGTTTTTGTCTGCCAGGAATATTTGGGACCGTATAATTTTACCCTTTGATTATAAATACCATTTTTATATAAGGCTGTATGAACACTTAATGGAACATCATTTCTTTTGGGAGGAAGTGGTTCTGAATGGCAAACTGCAGTCAGCAACAAACTCTTCCTGATGTTCTGCTAGTTAAGTAATGCTTAAATAAGAATGATATCAAAGTGATAAATACAAGCACTCATCACTTTGCTCTTTTCATGGCCTCAGTCTAGATTTTATGTCAAAAAGTACTGTGAAGTACTGTAGATGAAGCTGATAATGAAATCTAAAGTTATGACTGCTTAACATTCTCAATTATAATCTCTTATTTTCAATCATTTATAACTTTGCCAAAAACAATGCCTCAAGCTGCTTTAAGGGAGGAGGAGTTCAGTAATTAAGTTAATCTGTTCCTGAGAGCATCAAGGAAAACTAGGCTTTAACAACATATTTAGAGTAAGGTTTGGGGATTTTTTTTTTTCCCCCCAATGATTTCTTTGAAACATCCACACACTCCCCTGCTCTGAAAATGGTATCCATAAGTATTTAAATGATTGTCCTAAAATAGATAAATTTCCACTTTCACCAAGTGAGAAAGCTTTTGCAGAGTAGGCTGGGTGTTGAATTTTGAATTTAACTGCAGGAGCAGTGATCACAAGCAACAGGGAATATGTTCACAGACCACAGTGCAGGCTTCCGTGTTTCAGGTTAGCAAATAGGATCTGCAACAAGTGGGGTTGGTTGGCTCAGCAAATGGAGCAAACAGCTAATTGGAGGATGAAGGGGTGGGTTAAATAATGAAGTGCTTGAGGGAGATCAGTTTTTTGTTTGTTTGTTTTTTAAACAATGAAACTCTGGAGTCTTTCTGTTCCTCTCTTCCAGCTGCTTTCTTTGCACACAGGTATGCAAATTTGTGTAAATGTATGCAAATGCAGGACCCACTGCGTTCTGCTCCCTGGATGCTTGCTGGCAATCCCAGCTCCCTCTCTCTGTGAGCACCACACTACAGCTCCTCTATGCCTTCCTGACCCTACGCTCAGCATTTGAGAAGCTGGGGAGAAGCTGCAGCACCATGTTAATGTGACAAGTTGTCCAACATGACAAGAGAAGTGTGTTAACACAAGTGGAGGACAATATTGCCCCCCAGAGAGACCTTGTCCCTATTTTGGGGTGAGGTAGCCTAGCTACATCCTCACAGCCATAAGCACTAAGCAAGATCTATGGTATCTAAAGTGAGAAACTGTTCCATTTTTATATAAACGAGGTTGTGCATTTTCTTTTGGGGGTATTATACCCCTCACCTTTACACCTGCCCTATGATAGATAGGGACCTTGTCTGAACACTTCCCTGAATACCCTTTGTCACATCCTCATACTTGGCCATGTTGTCCCAGGCCAACCTCAGCCACCCAGTGAACAAACCAATCCTACAAACCATCAGAAAACAAAATTTACAATTCCTCTCACTGTTCTGAAGCCAGTCTACCTTCACATCTCCTCACACCTACTGCGTTGTTCCTTCACACTTAACATACATCCTTCACAAGCCAGCTGTGTGCTTCTACC